GGAGGGGTTTACAAATCCCAGTTTAAAGGCCCGGTCAAAACTTTCATTTCTTTTTTAAATTGTTTTAAAGTTTTTCAAAATTAAAAACATTTTTGAATTGAATAATCAAAGTGTTTGCCAAAAATTAAAAATTTTTTTCTTTAAAAAGCCAAATTAAACCTACGGGTTTTTAAAACATTGGAAAGGCAATTTGGTTTTGGCCACTAATACCAAAAAAACCAAAATTTTGGTTTTTTATAATTTTTAAAAAACAGCCTTTAACCTTTTTTTGTTGGACATTCTGAAAACCAAACAAATTCAGCGCCTTCTGTGCTTTGCTTTTTTTTTATCTTGTCGTCTGTTATCGTGTTACATTGTATTGTACATGTATTGTAACGTACGCTTTTTAGCGGCAATTCAATCATAAGTCTGTGAACTGTTTATTGTGTGTCTAGTGGTATTGTATTGACTTTTGATATCTCCTTCCTTCCCTTTTCCGACTACTTAAATTAGTCTTTATTCTCATTCCCACACGAGTGTAGCTACATATATTGTAGTTAAATGGAACTCGTTATGTTTACGAAATTTTATTAAGAAATATAACTTATCATTAAGTTATTTTCATTCTGAATTGAGACGCTGTGGTAAGATTCTTTTTCATTTTATTCATTTACTCGAAATAATAACTATTTGCATCGCTTAATTTCTGTACTGTTGTATTGTATGCATTTGTATCAATTTCTATTATAATTGTGTTTAATTTTATTCTTTATGTTTTATTCCCTTCATTAACTTTGACGAACCTATTCCTAGTATATATGTATGTTATCAGAACTTATGTATCCCTTAATTTTCGCTGTAGCATTCAAACAATACGTTAAAAATGCGTTTTCCTTTTAAATAAAACGAACCATTTATTTACTATATTTTGTTATTTTATTATAATAAGTTCTCAATTAAGCAACAGTGCTTGGTTTTGTCTGTTTTATGTTTTCTTGCATAGCAGACTGGCGTTTCCGTGTGTTTTACCCATGCCGGCATGGGGGATGCCAGATGAGTCGCGTGCTGTACAATGGCACGCTTAGGATGACGTCATTTTACCGTTATGAATGAAGTTGCAATTTCATACGCTGTGGTAAGAAAATAGTTACGGCCGTAATGATATAAATTTCCGTTGAAAATAAAGATAAAGAATTTAAATTATAAAGGAATATTGTAGAATATGCAAGAAAAAATATCTGACATATGTTTGCGGTTCGGATCGGAATATCCGTCCCTAGGTAACCCGCCCATGGGCAAGTTATGGGGGTTAGTCTTGATGACTAGATGACCCCTATTGATTTTTAGGTCACTGGGTCAAAGGTTAAGGTCACATGGGCCTTCACTAAAAAAAGCTTGGCCGCCCATTAACTTAAGAATCCTCTGACCCACAGTCATATTTGGTATTGAGGTTGTTTATGATTATAAGATGACCCCTATTTATTTAAAGGTCACTGGGTCAAAGGTGACAGGAACCTTTACCTAACAAAGCTTGTTGGCTCAATTGCTTAAGAAGGCTTTGGTCAACAGTCTTCATATTTCGTATTGATGTTGTTTATGACTATGTCAAAGGTCAAGGTCACAGGGGTTTTTACTACAATAAGCTGGTCTACTCAAATGCTTAAGGTCCTCAGTGTATTGATTTTGACATTTTTACATTTGAAGCATGTTGAATACATAACTTAGCAATGCACTGGCTTACTAACCTCAGATTTGGCATGGTGGTTGTCCTTGAGCTCTAAATGGCCATTGCTGATTCTGACAAAGTGGTATGCGGGGGTATTCACGCCAAGACAGTGGCAGTTCTAGTTTTCCTTAAATGCTGATAAAAACAATATGATTTGTTTGTCATACTTAAATTAATTATGTCTCCCAAAAGACATATTGTTTTTGCCTTCGCAAAAAAGTTATTATTTGTACTGTTCATAACAGTTAACAATTGTATTGTACAAAAACAGTTAACAAGTGTTCTGTCTGCTGAGCGAAGGTACTTTCCTCTTGAGTCGTTGGCTCGGGTTGGAAATTAATTTGCTGGAGTAAAAAAAAAATGATTGTTTTTCTCCTGGACATAATAAATCCAATATTGTTTCATTTCTTTATATTTGATATTTTATTTGTGCAATTAGGTCAAGAATTTTTTTTTTATCTATTTATTTTTTTTGTTAAGGGGGGCAGCTTAGAAACGTTTCACTCTATACCTTCAGGCTATTTTGAAAAAAAAAATCTTACATGATTGTAATAAAAGATTATAGAAAACCAAAATCAAAATGCCCGGTATGAATAAGTTTTTATATTTATTTTAAGATATTTATAGTAAATAAATTTAGAAACTAGATTTCCCAGGAACACATATTTGTCACTTTCTGTAAAGCTTGATTTTACCTGCATTTTCATACCGCTTTCAAACCCCAGCAAACTTTACTTGTAAATGTTATCTATATTTTCTCCATTTCCTGTAAGTAACTTTTTTTTAGACCCTTTAAGTGTCTATTCATTCATTGCCTTATGAATTTTGCCATTTCCGATAGAATTTGTATTATTTTTGTTAAACCTGTGTTGTACATTTGTGTTACATTTCTGTGTTAACCTATTTATTTATTGTTGAAGGGTTAAATTATATAATTATCTTGAGTAGCAATTATAGGGGTATATATTATTTAGATGTTTGGTGTATTTTCTCTGTATTTTACTAAGCAGATTCCTATTCTCTATTCTCAATAAAATACTTATGAGTACAAAAAACACTATTTTTTCTTGCATAATGCACTAATGTGGCTATTAAAATTTGATAAATATTAAAATTATTTGGAAGGTAAGCATCAATCAAGATTTAACTATACCTAACATAGGAAAGACTACCTAGCTACACAATGTTTGTGTTTCTACCTTGCTCATGCCTGTTATTATATACTAAGTATACAAAAGGGGCAGCCTAAGATTTTTCTTGACCACTTAAGCCACTGTGACATTTATAACTGGGAGAGAAAACAATTTGGCTTGTGATATCTGGCCTGAGAATCTTCTGCATTTTGCTGCATGAAAGTTAAGTAAGAAGTCATCCACGGTAATCGAGGCTATTTGAACTGTATACCAGCAGACATTTACACAAAAAATCTTACGATTTATCTTAAGTTTTTCACTTACGATAATCGTAAGTTAAATCTTAAGTCATTTTCACAAAAGCACTCGTAAGTTAAAATTTTATCTTAAGATAAAAAATTCACTTACGATAAATCTTACGACAAAAACATCCCTAGCAACGTTCATTTGATAATGATGTGCATGCTCTATATTTGATTCCGGTTTTAAAATCAAGTAATCAAGAGCTTGAAATATCTATTGAACACAATCAAATTTCAATAAGAACAAAAAAATGATTCAAACTGATATAATTTATATCTTGATTGAAGATAATTATATATATCTAAAAGATTCAGGAAGAAGGTCTTCTATGTTATTAATAAATAAAAAGGTACCACTAGTACATGCTGGCAATGAAATCGAACTCACCAATTGCAAAAATTATAAGTTTTCAATAATACTATAGTCTACAGTATAGTTCACATTATTTTAAACTATTCATAACCCTCTCCATCGTGACGTCATCAAGTCATGATATCAGAAATGTATATGTTGAAAAGTAATTATACCTCAATTTGTGTTATTTATAGCATACTGTTTGCTTAATATTTAGTTGTCCTTCAACTTTTTGTTTGTTTTTATTCAGTTTAGGTAATACATGATATTTTACCCTTAAGAGAGAAAAAATTACACTTACGAACGGAGAAGACCTATCGTAAAGTTACGACAGATTTTGCACTTAAGATTTTCTTAAGATTTTTTGTGAAAAGGAGATTGATCGTAAGATTTCTCTTACGACAAAAAATTGTCGTAAGATTTTTTGTGAAAATGTCTGCAGTATTAAATGTAGTATAAACCTGATGTTTACTGTGGGTTCAGATATTGACTTTAGTATTTTAATACTAGACTTCCCTTAAGTATCATAATGGACAGTTCCAAATACAAAGCAGGATGTGTCCATTACAGAAATGAAGGGAGGGAAGGGTTAAAATTATTCAAATTTGAATTTATAATTTATCTCTGTTTATCATTGACAGTTTAAATTGGATATTATTAATTATTTTTTAGTCAAATTAAAGAAGTCAGCAATGGTTCATGAAATATTTTGGTTTAATTGTTTTCTAATTAATTAAAACTTTTTATTGTACATCTTTTTGCAGTTATTCGTTTTAAATCAAAAGGTGACTAAAGTAAAAAATATAAAGTTTATTAAATTACACATTATTTATTTGTAAAATTAAGATATTCATTATAAGAACTTTATAATATGTTTAATAGAATGTATAATGTACAATAAATATTTATTATTTTGAAATATTTCTTATAAAAAAACATAACTTTACAACTTTTACAATTTATATACAAAACTGATCTTTATACAAAATTTATCTTTTATTATCAAATTATCCCTAGACATATGTGTTTTTTATCAATGCATAAACAAACTTCAAGTATTTCTTGTTTATCAGCAATTATAATTTTTCTATTAGTATGCGATATTACCACATCTACCAAAGAGAGGCCTTAATTATGAATATACATGTATAGTATCTATATGAATGATAAAAAGTCATGTAGCCTTTTCCTGTCAATTACCAATAGCTCTTTCATTCAATTAAAGATATTTTACAATATTTACAATTAAACAGTAATAATTAATTGAAAAATAAATTTCTTGTTAATGTAAATAAAAGACTATTCTTTCGTAAGCATTTATTTTAAATAAATATTTTAAATATTAAATATTTTCCATTTTATCATAATTATTGTCAGATTTTTAATTGGTCATAGTTAGTCAGTAGTTACTATAAGGATAAGTTATTAAGATCATAATTATAATATTGAAGTTTAAATGTTAAGAAAATGAGAGAAAAAAACTTTTCTTAAAATTATATACAGTATTATACACAGGTCAAATTGTTGTTACTATGGAAACATATTTTAATATCGTATTATTTTGTCACTTTCTAGCTTCCCTGGCCGCAGATGCTAAAGGTAAAGGCAATAAGGCAAAAGGTAAAGAAAAAGGTGGGAAACCTACACAAGAAACTGAGGTAAGTTGATATCATTTGTGACTATGTTATCAACTTAGTGCAATAACTGGTTGACTTCTTTTAAATTTAGAAGGACTTAACCAGTCACTGCACTACGGTGACAATGTCATTCTTTTCTTTGCAGATTAATCTTGACAATACAACACATACATTTATGCATCCATTTTTAGGTTAACGAAGAGCTGTTTTACTCACTTTGGTGTTTGGGGCGGTGTAGGCTTCGCCATCCCACTTCGGTTAAATTTGTGTGTGTGAATTAATAGGGAATAGGTTGAAACTTCACACACTTGTTCTCTTTGTTTATCTATCAAAATGATTATCTTACTTGATGTGCACAGGTCCCAGAAACTCTGAGTTACCTTTATACAGAGTTATGCCCCTTTACTTACTGTCAAGCACTGAGAATAGTGTAGCCCACTGTCTAACAGACACCTCTTGTTATTACATACATGTAATTAGGTACCCTATGATGCCTTGGTTGGGAATACAATATTTAACAACAAGCAGTAGATATTTGTATACTTGTATTAAACATTGCTTGTTCATGAACATCTTTTTTAATTTTCATACAAATTTTGGCAAACATCGAGTTGTGAAATGAAAGTTGAACATAATTTGTATTATAACAGAACAGTCTTATTATTATAACTGTTTATATTTCAGCCAGCAGACAGTCCTGACTTTATAAACCCACTGTTAGAAGGTGCTGATTATATAGATGGTCAACTGTGGGTAGCTGGTAACAGGGTTCTCATTAACCTCAATCTCTCACGTATGTATTCAAGTTTCGTATTAATGCATAATTGTAACTTAATTAAATAATGGTAATGGCTGATTTAGCACACTTTGATTTGTAATACACATGACTGACTGCATACTTTGTTTTAAACAAATCACTCAATTATAAACACATGTTAATCTTATTCTGATTCCACAAATATTGTCTTTCTGTGCCTTAAATGTCTGAAATTTTCTTTTAGACACCAAAAGGCTTTTTTGACAATAGACGCAACAAATAAATAACCGTTTTATAAGTTATTGAATGATTGATTGATTTTGAATGATTGATTGATTGATTTTGATAAAACATGGAGCCCGCATTGTTAAAAATAATATAAATAGTTAAAATAAACTATTATTTCCATTGTGTACCTAAATTAGATACAGTATTTAGTGACATAGGCAGACATAGCATATCAGAATAAAACAATAGATCACAGAAATTGAATATGTAAAATATTACAGGAAATGAGATAGGTGAGACAGGCCTTGAGGCTCTACTGAAGGCCATGCAGTATCAGACAACATTGTGTATGGAAAATAAAAGTAGCGGAACAGGGCTTATGAGATTATTAGTCGGGGTAAGTAAACATGAGCTTGTATACATTTATTGATTCATTTTATTTTCTGGGGCGTCTGTGGCCGAAGTGTTAAGGTCGTTGACTTCAAACCACTTGCCCCTCACCGCTGTGGGTTCGAATCCTGACAGGGACTTTGGATTCTTTCATGTGAGGAAGCTATCCAGCTAGCTTACGAAACGTTAGTGGTTCTACTCAGGTCCCCGATTGTGCCTGAAATAATTCACAGAGGGGCACCGGAGGTCTTCCTCCACCAGTAAAGCTGGAATATCACCAAATGACCTATATTGTGTCGGGTAGACGTGAAACCCAATCTAACAAACAAACAAATTTTATTTAATTGTGGATTACAGTTTTAAGTTTTAGTAAACTAATTGTTAAATTAATTTTTTTTTGCAGAAGAACAAGGTTCGATCTAGCCATGAGTTGCAACAGAAGATAACAGATATCATGTTACCTAAAGATCCTTTCTATAAACCTCCACCACAGACCCCGGATGTGACTGAGGCTTAAATACAAATACAGATTTACATAATGTCACTTTTTACTTTAATATAGTTACAACTCTTTAATTGAATGATTTGGAAAAAAAAATCTTTGACTGGATTTCTAGGAAAGAATATTTCATTTGGTTCCTTGGAAAATTTCTTTAATTGGATTCCTTTGAAACATTTTTTAATTGGAATTCTTGGAAAAATTCTTTAGTTAGATTCCTTGGAAACAATCTTTTATTAGATTCCTTGGAAAAAAACTTTAATAAGATTCCTTGGAAAAATTCTTTAATTGGATTCCTTAAAAAAATTCTTTTACAGGATTGTTTGGGAAAATTATTTTATTGGATTCCATGGAAAAATTCTTTAATTGGATTCCTTGGAAAAATATTTTGACTGGATTCCGTAGAAAATTTTTTTGATTGAATTCCATAGAAAAATCTTTGAATAAATTCTCTGTTGTCATAATTCTTTGAAAATTTTGAAAGTTTTTTATAATGAAGATTTGGAATAAAAGAGAGTGTATGAACTGGAAAGTGTAAATAGTTATCTGCTGATACCGTTAAACGTGATTGTTAATGTGATAACAAAAAATTTGTTATTAGATATATGAAACAGTGCAGAATTTTGTCATAATTTGTTCTATGTTGAATTTAAGGTCAACATTAAAACATATATTAGTATTACTTATTTTAAATATATATGTGTTAAACAAAGTTATTATAAATTGTGTTAAATGTTAAATGTAAAAGCCTATAGCTATAACTTGGCTTTTAAATTATTCTAGTTTAGTCAACATTAACACATATAATATAAAGCCTAACATTGTTGAAATGTGTGAAATTTGAATGGAAAAGCATATATCTTATAAAGATTACTATCTGTTAAATGTTAGATAATAATTCTAGGATAATAAATCTGTAACTTATTGGAATAATGTTGTCTTCTATCTAATAAACTTTTCAAGCATCCACATTAACATTTAGATAAAAGTATTTTATTTTTTTTTTTTATTTCAAACGTCCATATTTACTGTGATAATGATTTTTTTTATTGTTCAGAGTTATTTATATGTACATGTATGGTTATTTTATTTAATAAATGTTATTGAATATATTTTTTATTTCAATAACATACTTATTACTTAACAGTTTGACAGTTAAGAGTCATAAATGCATATATATGTGTTACATATTATGTTATGACACATAATGTTATGTATGTTAACATACAAAAAACATTTGTGATGAATAAAGAAATCTCCTCTAAAACATCTTGTTGTAACTGCTCTGAAACCCACCACTGTTTCATGACTGTTTGACTGGATTCCTTAGAATAGTTCTTTGATTTCAAATCCCATAAAAAAATTTCTTTGAATTCCATGGAATAATTCTTCGATTGAATCACATAGAAAAAATCTTTGATTGAATTTCCTGGAAAAAAATGTCTCTGTTATGAGGGTGCAATTATGTTGTTCAAGTAAGCTTTGAATTTCTATTACAATCTAGTCCTAACTGATGTTTAAACTTACCTATAGTGCATATAGAAATGAAATTGACAATATTCCTATAAACCACACGTTTATGAACGACTATTTGCCAACATGTAGTGATTTACAGAATCTAGGATGATGTCAAGATTCTTTTATTCACTAAGAACAAATCTGGACAATTAGAAAATTCTACATTATCTAGGGCTCTTGTTTTACTACCAAACTCTTGGAATAGTTGAGCACGCTGTCACACCAACACTTGTTGTTAATTTTGATCCTGATCTTCAAATCTTGGGCCAGGTAATGCACTAAAAAAATTTGTATATATATATGAATCAACAGCTGGGTCAGAGAAGTGAAGTCTTGTCTTAAATTTTATTGGTTTTATTATTACATTTTCATTTTACATGAACTTAATTGTGGTACAAATTCATGCATGATTTTAGAAAGAATATAACAAGTAAAAACATCAAACGTAATCATCAGCTTATCTTTAATATAACTACATATATGTGTACATTTGATATGTATGTAAAAAATAACATTCCCATGAAGCAACATGACCTGAGAGGTTAATAACATGAAAGCTAATGATGCAGCCCGCCTCTGCAATATCTGGTGTTGAAAATTAGTTCTGTCAAACGTGAGGAAATTACTGAATTTGTCTTTTGTTTTATCATATTAAGATTGACTTTGTAGTTCGAGTTTTGCAACATTTTACCAATGGATGAAGACCATAACCAATTCACATGAGCGGCACGTAAAGTTATTTTTTGAGGGAAAAACAACGCAATCATGTATAAATGGAGACTCCAAAAGTGATTGCAGTTTTGAATAGGTCTTATTGTCACACTTGTATTCTGCAATCATTTTATATCAATCAATGAATATCAATATTAATACGTATTTAGACATATTGTGCTAGTTAATCCTGATAGTTTTTGTTGACGAAACTGTTTTGAAGAGATACATTACAATTCTACAATTTTGCATATTTCAAATATAGAATGTAAATAGTTCTCTATAACTCCACTAGGCTAGTTCTGATTACATGAGTTTTGATATTTTGTGTCAAATACAACTTGAACACACCAGCAATGCTCAGGGTTCATATTTCCAAAAGGACCAAAATATATACAAGAAAACACCGAGGGATAAAATTGTCACTAAACCAATATTTAGGCCTATTTTGGCGTATTTGTTTTGTTCAAGGCACGCAACTTTCTCCATGTGTATCCGCAGTTGTCTTTCCTTTTCTTCGTCAACCTCGTTTGTGATTCCGCAAACGTAATTCAACGCCTTTTCCGCGCAATGCATCTCTGCAAAGCAGGAACGGAAATATTAATAATGCTATTAAAAGGATAAGAAATCCTATAGTAAATCGTTATATACATGTATATTGAAAGAGAGGAAATAAAAGCTTGCTCCTCAAATAAAACAAAAAAAAAAGAGATTTTCAGAAGTGAGAAACTCGAAAAGTGCTTGTTAATAATTGATACCGATAGGCGGGATTTAGATTATACTAAAATTCAAGTTTTAATTTCTATGCCTCTAGAAATTTAGATATAATATAGGTGTCAAACCTTTATCTTCTTCTGGTTCATCAAGTTTCGGGTCCCTGTAGTGATGTTTTTCCTCCACGGAGAACACGTGCATGTTATTATCACCTGTTGCTGCAAGATTTGTGAAACCATTCTCCTTATCTTTACCTTGTTTGTCAGGCTCCGTCTCTTCTATGTACGGAGCTGATTTCCTCGTCCAAAATGTCGTACGTGTCAACTTAACAAGAAAAAATTGTTTGTTTTTTTAAAAGTTGTGTATCTTTAAATTAATGATACAACATTTATACATACTTTACGTAAATGGCCAAAGACATTTTACATGTCGATAGCAAATAAATTTTGAAACCTTTGTTAGTATTTAACAAACAACAGTAATTTTATCAAATTAATGCATATTTATAATACTTGATTGAAAAAATCAAAACGTAAATATAGAACAAAAATTATATAAAAACGTAGAATAATTACTTTTGAATCGTTTTAACATGCCATATGAAATCATGTTCTTAGGTGAAAATAAGAACATGTGTAGATATGATTATATTATAAAGAAATAGTTTCCTATAGTTTGATGTGATTTATACAATTCTTCTGTTCAACATTTGTTTTCTGTGTACTTTCTCTATATTACGGACACATTAACCGGACACATTAACCGTGACATAAAACTATAATGCTATTTAAATGTATGGAGTCTCTAAGACGACTTTAACATTAGCAAACAAATTCATTTGTATTTTTTAGACACAAAACTGTACATAAACAAGAATTAAGACGTTTGTAATGTGATTTATAGTATGTTTTTATGAGGTTTGCCACATCCTGAACGGAGTTAATTCTGCTAATGAAGCAAATTTGTACTTGTTTGTTTGTCAAATAAATTAAATCACTAAGGTTTTGTCATTAAAGCAAACTATTTTTTATGTGTAATTTACCGGCGTCTTTTGTGGGTTTTTAAAGATTATCATAAGAATGTTAAGGCTAACCAGAGATATCACTGTCAAAGTTTAAGGATGATTTGCTGTTATGTAATTTATTGAGGGATTGTCACTATGGTTTCTTGATCAACATATTAACATCAAATTTATTTCTAAAAAGTAAATACAGAGAAATGATGTTCACATTAATAGGCTTTGCTGACAATCTTCATTTGAGTTGAAAACGACCCGGCGCTGAATCTACTTTGTAATAATATGTTGAAAATCTCCATTTAAGCTGAAAACAACCGCGCTGAACCTAGATATTTTACAACAGTAAAATGGTGACACGCTAAAAATTTACGTTAGAAACGATCCGGTATTGAACCTACTTACGTATTTTTCATGAGGTCTGCCGGTGAAATAACTGATGACAATAGCCGTTACACCAGTCAACAATGTGATAAATAACGAGAAATACATGTAATGAAAGTTTTTCAAGATGGTGGGACGATTGTCATCTTTCCCACAGCCTCCACTACTGTAGTAGACAAATGCCAAGATCATCCGTATAACACCAGTCAGAAAAGCCAACATCAACGCCCAGAATGCTCCCTGTAAAATTTAGAACAAACTATACTCAGAAAAGCCAACATCAACGCCCAGAATGCTCCCTGTAAAATTTAGAACAAACTATACTCAGAAAAGCCAACATCAACGCCCAGAATGCTCCCTGTAAAATTTAGAACAAACTATACTTTACAGTCTTTTACAACATCAACGCCCAAAATGCTCCCTGTAAAATTAGAACAAACAATACTTAACAGTCTTTTACATAGATTGATCCCCATAAACTCATGGTCAATTAATAAAAAGCCAAATAATGGATCTAAAATGACATTTAGACACATAGTTTCAGTTGTTACGGACATTAACACAACAAGTGAATGACTGAATGTTTGTTGGACTATTTCACAAGCTTTAAAGGCCAATTATGTCTCAGCAATGCTATCATTTCAATTTTACAAAACTTTTCTATTTTTTTGGTATTTGATACAGTTTTTGGCACATAAAATATACACATTTGGCACATAGATGAATTAAGTTTTACTTCTTTTTGCTCTGTTGACAATCGCTTTAATCATAGTGAA